AAATAGTTGTAAATACTTTCGCGGACTCTGCGGAGTCGGGCGGTGCGTCCGCCGGGCGGTACGCTTGCCACTAACGTCGCTAAGCAACTTGTTTTGTTGCAGACGGGCTTTGGCAGCCGGGCAGCGTACCCGCCGTGTCGAGCAACTCGTGTTGTTGCCGACGTGTGTGCCGTGAACAGTCTCGTATTGCTGTTGGCACGGGGTTTTTATTTGGGATCGGTTTCTGTTCTTGTTGATGCGGATAAACTCGTGCTATGGCGCTTGGCCTCTACGAACAGTGCAGTTCAAGGTGGCTGTCCTGCGCGACTGGGAGTTGCATTCGGTGCTCTCCTGGTTCGCGTTGGCCAGGGCAGCACGCGGCTCCAAGACTTTTTGAAGTTAGGTTGCTGTGCTATACCTGGCCACAGGAATTTGTATTTTAGCCTAAGGTAAAAGCTAACATGTTTGGAAAATAACAATGTTGGCGAGCCTGCCCGATTGCAGCCCTGCATCGTTTCAATATCACAAGAAAGGACAGGGTGGCGCATTTGACAGTTCATTGTGCCCGCAAATCGAAGCGATTAGGCATCGTTAGCAAAAGCAGCTACAAAGAACTTTGCCTCTTCGAATAGTCACCAACAAATCCTTTGTCCGGGGTGACGCGAGTCAGCTTGGTATGCGGACATCCGCGTTCACATTAAGCGGAGTCGTGGAACTATTTTCACCATAACTTCGCAAGCCGAGCCAGTGCGATGCACGTGACTCACGGCAGAAAAGACACCTTTGTCTCTGCCTTTTTCTTTTTTTTTATCTCTGGGTCCTTGAGCACCCAGGGATTGGTCGAGTGTTCTCAGTTGGACGGCTCCACCTTGCTCGGAATTTCCGAGGTTTCTTGGGGAAAGAAACGGGAGAGGGGGCAGAGCGCAGGTTGCATTCCAGTACCAGGCGGGTGTGAGTCATGGCGCGGCCCACGAGGAGGACAACAATGCCGGGGCAGCGTCATCATTCGCCGGGGCAACGTCATCATCGCCGGGGCTGCCTGTCCCCCTGCCGGCCCGAAAGACTTGGTCACTTCCGCTGTGATCAAGATGGCGTCACGTGTCCTCCTGCTGCCTGGTTCCGTCTCCAACCCTGGGAACCTGGAGCTGGGACTTGCTGCCATTCAAGGACTGCAAGTGTCATTCCCCGACACACTTTGCCGTCTCGGCGACCCTGCTGCTGCCCCAACCTGCGGATTCCCGTCCCGATGCCTGGACCCCCCCTGCAAGCCACCTGCACTGCGGGTGGGCGCTCGTGCCGACGCCAACGACGGTGCGTGTCGTCGGGAGGCGCTCCGGCGTCGTCATTCCTGGACTTCGGCCAAGACATCGTCCTGTCTCTGCGCCATGGTGAGCCACGGACTTCTGCGCCGGGAGCGTCCCCGAAGATATTTTTTATTTGTCAGCCCCAGCATGTGGGGGTCGGTACCGGACGCGGTAGTTTTTTTTTCGGTTTCGTTTTTTTGTATGAGAGTCGGTAGGCAAATTTTGTTTTTAGTCCTACCTTAGCCTTAAGGGGGAGGAGTGTGGGAGCCACGTGTTCCCCGTCTCCCTATCTAGGCCTAGCACAAGCAGGCCGTGGGAGCGTTATGGCGACGTCATCCCGGATACCGGGGTAAGGCCGCATTCCTCGAAGAGGGCGTGTCTTCCCTCGCCCTTTTGGGTGAATGTGCCTCCGGCGCACCCTTCGGAACTGATTGTGGACGCGGCCCATCTGCGGGATAAGCCACACTACCTACCCCGGGCGCGTCCACTTTCCGCTGGCTAGATAAGCGGCCGCGAACGGCGGCCCGGGCTCTCGTCGGGGAAGGCTCTGGGCCACGGAGCCTCGTTCTTTTTTGGAGCTTTCCCCTCTCCGCGAATCTGCCTAATACGGCAGCGTGGGCCCCCTCCAGGTGAATCCGTCTAATGCGACGGCGCCGACCTTTTTCCGTTCTTTTCTTTTATTAGTTTGGCCGACGGGCACAGCGTGGTGGCACAGCAGCCAAATAAACCCGCTTCTTCAGTATCTTTGTGTTTTGGAGTAAATCCTCTCCTTGGAGTCCACGGCAGCCTCCGGACGGACCCGGCCGTAGCAGTCCTCAACATCGAGCTACGGAGTGGGATCGACCTCGTGGTGCAGTAAGGCAAGTCGAATCCCACAAGTTGTAACGTTGCACACTTTACAGATGCACACTGACACAAGTGTGTCGCACAAGTATGCTCACACACGACGCCACAAAGCCAGATGCTTTTGTCGTAATGCTTGCTCATGTGCAGTTTGGGGGGGGGGGGGGGGAGTCAGTGTCATTAAAGTTGTGGAAATCCCTCCAGGGGGGCGATTGTTCAACTCGGCTCAAGTATTGGGCACGAGCATTGCGTGTGCACGCGCCTTTTATTTGGTTTCTATTTACAACCAATGCTTTCGCGAACATTCGTGTTGACTGCTCTCCAGTGGCTGTGGTGACGGGAATAGATTAAAATCTAAAACATATTTGAAAAAAAAAATATATATATATAAATTGTACGAAATGTGGAACATAAAAAATAAATAGTTTCACACTGTTTTCTTTAAACGAACCACGCGGGAGTATTTATCTCACAGAAACACTAAATATGCTTTCAATTAAAATTTATCTTCCATTTGCGTCCAGCAAAGTCCCTGGTTGTTAAAAAAAAAGGCAGAACAACTTTTGATTGTTTCGATTGTGGAGAAATTTTCAGTTGATTTTCGCACATTTTCTTTAGGCTTAGCTTTAAACCAAAACATTAACAGGAATGAACAGTGGACACGCAAATACAAATGTCATGGGGGCGACAGCTTTTCGCCTTGGACGTCATGCCGAGAGACTGTGCTTGTGGAGGTGGCAATACATTGAACAGGTGGCGCCTTGTAATCGGTGTAAGTGTTGAGCAGTCTTTGTCATATGTTATGCCATAACTCTCCAAATGCGACATATCATTGGAAATACTGGGCAACTCGCCGGAACAGAACAACTTGATAAATGGTAGGGTTTTCTCGCGGAAGCTAGTGCCGCTTCTGCTTGTTGCATCCTTCTAATAGTTCTTGTCTGCTGCTGATGGGTACGATCTCTATGATCCCTCCAATAGTTAGTGAAAGCCTAATACGATATAGTTAGGGTTCCGTGTTTTCATTAAATAACGATAAACCCGGAAAATTACCCTCGAGACGGGTTCATCAGAATCTAGGAAAACCGAAAACACCGAATTAAAACCGTTCTCAAATAGCAAAAAAAAAAAAAAAAATTTTAATGGGAAAAATTGATGAGTGACAGTTTTATTTGGTGTTAACGCGGACCAGAGACCACACTAAACTGTTCGCGAGGCTGAATTTGTTTGGAAGCACACCTCCTATCTCGTTTTTTTTCCGTTTTTTTTTTTTTTGGTTATTGATACCGGGTCATTTTGTAAGTGCTCCGGTCACTCCCATGTTCCCTGGGGATCGGGAAATACCATTCACATTTCTTATTTCCCATAAACCCCGATAAACGACGACTTTTTGTCGGACCTCTAATATAGGTACAACCTAAAACGAATGTGTTGAAAAAAAATAAAACCCTAAGAAACATCCCATATTTCAGGAATAACAGAACCCCGGAATCACAGAACCCAAACTATATGCCTCACTTCTGGAACGCCCTCGTTGACCTCCGTCGTGCTTTGACTGAGTGTGCTCACAAGGCGCCAAAGCGTTATCGAAAGTAAAAAGCTCGCGCTGGAGGCGGAGCTTGTACTACATTTTCTCCCTGTCACCGATTTTTGACGAAGGAATCGAATTATAGGGGTCGCTATACCCAGCTTGTTTTCCACACAGCGCGGTGTTTACTCAATACAAGGTCCCTTAATTGGATTTCTTACACCGATTTTAATGAAGCGCGGAATACAAATTTGACACGAATGTTGCGTCAGCGTTCGCCTGCGACTCGTGCGAAGCGGGTCCCGTTCTGAACTGATCTTTACCCCGTGTTTGCTTTCATTTATAGCCAATGAAGAGTCATGCCTAAAATGGCAAACATTTCGAGCCAAAAAGCTTCAACAAAGAGTGTTTAGTCGCGCAGCAAATGCAATGTGAGCCGCCTTGGCCGCCCGCTTCATCCAGCCTATCCAGCCCAGACTTTAGCTCTCGAGCCGTCGACACTGAGCGAGGCAGCCGTGAGCGCTCGCTGAGCTCACCACCCCTTCTCTAGTTCACGGCCACCCAAGCCAGAATCAGGGACGTCATGAAGGAGGTTATTGCTTTCTTGTTTTTGTCATTTTAATTTGCCTATAACTTTTAAAATAAAGCGAAATTCGAGAAAAGAAAAGTTTCACTAAGTTACTACGTTCAGTGCGCTCAAATACGGTGCGAATTAAAAAAAAAAGTAAAAAAGTTGTTGCAGGGCCTCTTTAAGTACGAGCAGATGGAACTACTCAGACAGCGTGAAAAGCGCCCCTAGATGCTTATCGTCATGTTTTTGTACGTGTTCTATCATCACTGAACCATTCAAAAGCAGAAAAGACCCAGTTAGTTGTGCTTTTGACGTTGCTTGATTGGTCCCTTTAGCTGGTAGCGTCGGCTGCGTCTGGACTTGAATTGAAAACAAGTATAAGGGTCTGACTGGTTGATGTCCAGTCTAATAATAATGGTTTGTATACAACTTTCTCCGAAACACAACACGTCCCTTATGCTTTGTCAACTCCAGTGCCTGACCTTTATGGACATTGATCGCCTAAATCGGCAACGGATCATGTGACCTCTTGTTCTGATAGCTAGTTGTTTCTGCTCGTTGTTTTAAATTGTGTTTCATATACAGTTTTGTTTTGTGGAAAACAATGACTAATGAGTGGGGTGTAAAATAAATATTAACGAAAGAGTAACACAGCAACTGCCCTAACTTTGTCGAGACAAGGGTTTTATGGGTTCGGAATCAAAACCATGGCCACAGGTATTGGCACGTCAGAAGTGTCTTTGAATCGAATCTTTCCATTCGTTATTTAACTCACCACTTGGAAAGGGTTGACATATAGGTAAGGGATCCATTCGTTTCCGAAATTTATGATTACGTTGTAGAAAGTACGCAGGAATGACGATTCTCTCGTGATTTCCGGGGACGGATGTGGATCTGGAATTTAAAACAAAATACTATTTGAAGGCAATTGTAGCATACAACATTAAGTTGTTTGGTGAAACAAGAATTGTAGCGGTGTGCCAATATTTGAGTTTCTAACTGGGATCAAATATTAATTTCCTGGACAATTCGATTTTATTTTTGACTTCCTAGTATTCGAGTTTTTGAATATTTCGGCTGCTGTACAAAATCTGGTTTTTCGAGAATGCTGTAAATAGGGTGACACAGTACTCGCAGGTCCCTACTAAATATAAATCAAACCTGCGCTGAGAAGAGTTGGCTGACTAATTATTTCGATAAGAAAGTACTTAGTTCTCTGTTCACGTCCCGTGCCACCGTAACATTACACAACACTGCGTCACGTGACACAGTTAAATATGTCCTTCTAAAGTGGTTGGTGTCACGTAAAGTCGTGGTGTCGTCATGATGCCACAAGCCGTGACGTCACGCTGGCGCGTTATGCCGTCACGAGACAACCGTCAAGTGGATGATGTCACGTAAAAAGCGTCAGGTAAATTTAGCTAGAAGGTTTCAGTTTTTGTGACGTTACGTATTATCTTTTTAAATATCTCAGCCATTATCCATCTTATGTGTTAAGCTATGCTGTTGTTGGAGGTATGAGTCATATTCTTTTTTTTGTGTGTGTGTGTGTGTGTTTGTTCCTCCCTGCCACGGCCCCACGGGCCAGTAGTATGTACAAATAAATAAATAAATAAATTCTGTAGGCCAATGTGTCATTTATTTAACTAACAAATGTGAAGTAAGAAAAATATTATCCCGACTTTGCTCTCGGTACACTGCTTGTTCAATAAAATGCACCGATGACCTAAAAATATTTTGTTCGAATGCTTTCTATTTTTATTTCAAGAGAAATGTATCCCACGTTATTTTTGAATAATCAATGCAGGATCTAAAGTTGTTAAGAAATGTTCGGGTTTTAAAGTAAAACATAGGGAATTATGAGCATAAATCTTGGAACACTGGGTATTCTGAAAAATGGCAAAGTGGCATTCTAGGGAGAGTGTTTTTCAAGGGCCCGCTAACAGGTCTTAGGATCGCGTAAATATTCAGAAGCATTTCAATTAGCGAGGTTTGCATGGATGTGCATGTCCTCGGGCGGAACGCTTCCTTCTTGCTTAGAGATTCTTTAGCAACTAATAAATTAGCCCAACCTCACAAACCGTGAATTTGCTAGCTTTTGCTCTGGCAGCGCTTTTATAACCCGCAAGGTCCTGTTTGGGCATATGGATTTCCAGAAGAATGGCGTCTTTTTTTGCAAGCGTTCAGATGGGCAGTGAGTTTTCTTAGGAACATCAAAAGTTCCAACTTGTGTTTGCTATATTTTTGTTAAGTTCTTTTATACCATTCAATTACAAAAAATATATTTCTTTGTTTTAAATATTTTAGCAATTATTTTATAATAAAAAGCAAGTCCGAGATTTCAAATAAAAACAACGAAAACAAACATAACTTAAGAGGATTGGAAAATGTATTTGATATGGTGCATTTGAATAGACGGACAGATTGTATGCGTGCGTCGGGAGTGGTTTGCCACACTGACTGTTTTTATAGTTGCAGAAAGACAGCACAATCAAATATACTATTTTGGATATAGGAACACACTTGATTCGTACGAAAGCAAATTTCATTTTTGGCTTTGGCGATAGACTAGGCAGGCGAGGTCGACAAAATCTTTAGTATGAAGGAATGATAGAGAGTGGCCATACACGAAAGGTGTTTTAATGCGTTGGCCTTAGACTTGTTTGGAGCACACGTATATTAAGTTCGCAACGTCGCCACGGGATGGCACCACAGCCCTACTGGCTGTGGAAACTGGCTAGGAAACACCTTCTTCAAGCGCCGACAGATGGCGGTGGTGCGCATATTTCGAACAGGAGCAGTGATGGAGGAGAAATTTCGGGAACGGGTACATGTGGAAGATAGGAGAACCGAAGGAATGTAGCAGTCCAGCTTGTGACATCTCGGATTTTGGACAAAGAGAATGGGAAAGGCGGAACGAAGAGTCCCCAGTGGCACATCGACAGGCACAGGGGATCCCAATCATGCTGGTGAAGAATTTGGGTCCTAAATCTAAGGCAAAACTAAGGGAAGTACGGTGAGCACTATGATACCAAAAGGAAATATTCCAGATGAATGGAGGCTTAGTAGGATGAGTATGATATATAAGTGAAAGGGAGATAAGTCTGATATTAGGAATTATCGTCCCATAATCGTGACACCCGTTATTTACAGGTTGGTAATGCAGATTATGAAGAACAGACTGGAGGAGTGGGTAGATTGCGAGGGCATACTGGGCGAGTTACAGAACGGGTTTCGGAAACAAAGAAGGTTGGAGGACAATATATTTTCTCTAATACAGTGTATAGAAATAGCGCAAAAATAAAACAGAGAGCTCTGGCTGGCATTTCTGGATATCAAGGTGCCTATGACAATGTGAACCAAAGGAATCTGTGGGACATAGTGGAGAGCTTAAACCTAGATGAAGGACTAACAGCCCTATTAAGGAACATTTACAAAGATAATAAGGTGATTATAACATGCGAAGGAAAGGCGACGGGACGAGGAAAATAGAGATAAGACGAGGCCTTAGGCAGGTGCCCGTTATCGCCTTTGCTGTTTATGTTGTATCTGAGAGGATTGGAGGATAGACTAGAGAAGAGTGGGCTTGGATTCGACATTTCGTACAGTAAGCTAGGCCAAAAAATTCAGCAATTTTTACCGGGATTGATGTCTGCGGATGATATTGTACTAATGGCTAACAAATGGACAGAGTTGCAGGAATTAATGAGCATCTGTGGTAAGGAAGGAGAGGAATTAGGTTTAGAATTCAGTAGGGAAAAATCAGCAGTCATGATTTTTAACAATGATGAAGTTGAGAGGCTGAAAATACAGAATATTACAGTTGAGAGAGCTAGTAAATACAAGTATCTAGGAGTATGGATATGTGACGGTGCAGAATATCTCAGTGAGCATAAAAAGTATATAATAGGTAAGGGCAACAGAAATGCAGCTGTAATGAAACAATAGAGCATTTTGGAATTACAACAGGTAGGAGGTGGTGAGAGAGATTTGGAAAGGGGTCATGGTCCCTGGCTTGACTTTTGGAAACGCAGTGCTATGCATGAAATCCGAAGTGCATGCGAGACTAGAAATAAAACAGCGTGGTGTAGGTAGGCTGGCTTTAGGGGCACATTGCAAAACGCCAAACCAGGGAGTACAAGGAGACATGGGATGGGCGTCTTTTGAGAGCAGGGAAGCGGTGAGCAAGATAGAATTTGAGGATCGGTTGAGGCAAATGGATGGGGACCAATGGACACGAAAGGTTTTCAGCTATTTATACATGAGGAGTATAGACATAAAGTGGAGACAGCGCACTAGTAAATTAAGAGGAAAGTTTTTAGGCTATAGTGGAGATACGGAAGAGCAGGTCTCAGTTAAGAAGAAAGTTAAGGCCACAGAAAGAAATCAGTGGCTAGACGGAATGCAGACAGAGACGGCTCTGGAAAGCTATAGATTAAACAAATCAGTTATTGCCAAAGAAAGCATTTATGACAATTCTAGGGGAAGCTCATTGTTGTTTGAGGCGAGGACGGGTGTTCTGCGAACCAGAACATACAGAGCGAGGTAGTACCAGGAAGTGGATACAGTGTGCACTGCTTGTGGAGAGGAGGACGAGACGGCTGAGCACTTGATACTCTACTGTAAAGGGCTTCACCCTATGCCGACCGAAGACAACATGAATTTAATAAAGTCATTGGGTTTGAGAGACAGCGAAGGGAGAGTTGATTTCAAGACTGTAGAGATTACCAAGCAAAGATTAAGTGAATGGTGGCAGAAAGCGAGGGAAAACTATGTATTTTCTTATTAACTGATGGCAAGGGGTTTTTATAGCCCCACTTTTTTTGCAGTGCGGAGTGAATATAGATTTCACATTTAAATATTTTAAGCTTGAATGGTAAAACAAAATGGCTAGGTGGCATAAGCTACCGCCCGATCCAAAGGGCTCAGCCGCATTCATCCATCCATCCATCCATCCGAGAGGCTTGGCGATAGTACGCATAGCAATTGATGCCACACTAGATTGGCTGGTTATAGGGAACGAACGGCTCCATGACGTAACACATTGCAACCGAAGATCGCCGGTGACGTCCCCCTTCGCCGTTTCGGCGCCGCGCAGTGAGGGACGGCGGGTGTGTCACTGGAGCGCGTGTTAAGCTCCCCCCCTCACCCCCCCCCCCCCCCCCCCCCCCTGTTCACACCGCTTCACGCGAGTCTGCGGATGGCTCATTACAAAATATTGCCACCCGCAGAGCCGAGAAGGCAACGCTCGGTCACGGTCTTCTAGAAGATTCCCGGTCATTCTCGCAGCAGACGTAACTTTCCTTCTGCTTTGTTATTCTCGAAAGTGCCAGTTCATCCTCGCCCCGAGCGCGCGACGCTCGAACCTTCTTTGCCGAACTTTCGAGATAGTGACGCAGGGTAGATAAGCGGCTCCCGCGACCTTGTCGAGTCTGTCCCAGTTTCGCTAGCGCTCTGTAGTGCCGCCGAACCGCCGCCCGCTTTTCTGCTACCTCGACGCTCTTTCGTTATTTATTTTTGGTTGGCACAAGTTCGCCCATTAAATCTTTATTTTCAGTTCACTGTTCGGCTTTTCGTCACCTTCATTCGTGACAATATTTGTCCACCTTGGGGCACCCGTACAAGTCACCTTGCGGCGCCCCGCCGACGGCCCTAGTAGGCCCAAGTACGCCCTAACCCTGCTTAGGGTGCCTTCATGTGCGCTTCGCATAGAGTGATGCCAACTGCCTGTTTCCCTTTCCCACACCCCCTTCCACCGCCATTTTGTTCCTCTCATTGTTTTCCCGTGCGCCGGAAAGTGGCCTTTGTATCCATCGGTCCTCCCATCCGAAGGGGAAAATGCTAATCCTTCCTCCGTGGGTTCCACAACGCTGCTCCGAACTTGTGAGATAAGGTGCTTGTTTCCGGGAGGGGTATAAGCCCCACGCATTATCGACGAGAACCAAAATGGCTGCTGGTTTGTCGGCGAGTGGTATTACAAAGGGTGGCATCACCCTAGCAAAGCGCACATGAGGGCTCCCTAACCCTGCTGTCCCCCACTGCACCTCGGTTGCTATGCTCCGTTCACCCTTAAACTGAGACTAAAAGCTCCGCCTTCATCGTGAGCTTTCTGCGCTTGCTAACACAAGTGTGAACGCGCAGGCACGTGCAACCAAAGCCCTGCGGACGCCAGCGAGCTCGCGCTGAAAGCGGAGCTTCTGGTCCCATCTTAAGCGCGAACGGAGTAAAGACGTTACGTCACGCCGTCGCTCTCTATAACCAGCCAATCCTGTGCGACCGCCGTCCTTCATGCACACGCTTAGTGACCTGATCTGCTTGCACCTCGGAAAAGAGGGATTTCAGGAATGTTCGCCCCGTCGAAAAGTGCTGAGAGCTGCATTCACCATACTTTTGTTATACATACCCGCTGCGCAAAATGCTCAATCATTTCTTCGAGAACCAGCGCGGCGACAGCAGCGATTTCGGCCCATATTTTTTTTAAAGTTCCAATAAATTCAGTAAAAAAAAAGACTACATTTTTATTATACAAAGAATGTAGATAAAACTATAGCTACTTCTTCACAGAAATACTGGACCGATTAGGGCGGTTGTTAAAACGTGGCAGAGACGTTTAGATGCCATCCCCAAAAAGGGTTAATGCTGGGGTTTTCAGTAATTTTATCACGCGTCAGCAAGACCGTCACTCGCAGCAGATGTTTAATGTGCATGGGGAACACTGCATTAAGCTTTGGGAAGGACGGAAGTGGCATTGATGGTAATGGTCAGAAAAGAATGTCTGAGGCGACTGACACTGTTGATAATTTATTAAGGATTGACGGAAAGCCCGGGCGGCAACCTTTTTTGGGAGAACATTCAAATGCTTGTGCAACGTCACAATCGCTGAATAAATTTGTGCAGTAATTATGTGAAGTAGGTAGAGTAAGTACCAGCATTTTGTGTATATATATAGAAAAAAAACTACTACTCTTGTTTTGTTTACCCAATCGGAAGGACTGAAAACTCTGGCTGGGACCTTCTTTGGGAAGGGCATGCATTCAAGAGCTTTTGCCACGTCATAATAGATGCCTAAAATAGTTTGGTGATTGTGGAGAATTAGCTAGATTATGTACCTTTATTAAGTCTTTACTAAAATATTTTAATAACTGTATTTTTTCTCATTTTATCGAATTCCCCCCAAAAAACAGCCATCGTGGTTTGATATATCTTACACTATGCTTGCCCAATGAAAATATGCACAAGTCGTTGTTACGTCCCTGTCTTTTTCTATCTAAGAAATTCAAGAGCTCGTTAACGCCACCATAAAAGGTATTCTGGTAAAGGAATTTTGTCGAGCTAGAGCCGATTTACCACACACATCTGCAGGCGTAATATAACTTGTTTTGATAACTCAAAACGTAGCGGTTGAGAATATTTTTGATATGTGAGACAAAATTTACGGGGGCTACATATGCCACATTATTGGCACGGAGGTTTTGCTATAAACAAAAATTAAACATTTACCAAGTGTGAAATGCAATGTTCTTCTTTCCTCCATTTTAAAGCAAGGTGAGGTGTCGAAACCTTGTGTTTGCTCGAAATCATCCAGCGCTGTGTTTACATCGTAGAATTGAAATGAATAGGTGTGCCCTTGACGGTGATCGATCTTTCCCCACTTCTGCAATGCCTGCAAGAAAGGTAGACCATGATAAAGCGTTGAACTAAAATGCAACTGAAATGATCAGTAATGCCATTGCACATGAATGATAAAAGAAACAATATTTCTCTAAATGAATAAATACAAAAAACGAAGACATTATGACACTTGATAATTGGCATATAATTACTGTCGAATGAACTTTTAATAACGCATTATTCATTCAAAAAACACCAGACTTAATCTAAGTTAAAGGTAGTGACTAATAAATTATCCCCCCCTTCCTTTAAACCCAACACTCCTGCACAAAATCAAAATCAGAGATAACTGTGCTTCAGAAACCTTTGAAATGTGACTATATTTTTCAAAATATCTATTGTTAGCGCAACATTATTTTACGAGTAAACCAATTTAGTTTAGTACCGCTCGACTCTACCTGTTTAGCGATAGATCATGTTTGAAGATATCCATGACGTCACAGGCTAGCATCACTTGCTTTCTCGCGTTTTAACTTTCCTTTTCACTGAACGCAGCTGTATGCAATGTACAAAGGTACTCGGCCGCAAAAAGTGAACAAGGCAAGGAGGGATGAAACGCACGATCCGGTTCCGGTTACTTATCAGTGAGACAGCATACATGCTAAAATATTAAAACAAGAACATTTTCTTAAATATTGTTCTTTCTAACATCCTAAAAGTTTTCGCGTATACTGCCCATGCTTTAAACAGTTCATAAGAAGAGTATATACTTTTACTGTTTGTGTCATGCCCCCTTAAAACATAGAACGTATCGGTTTGTTTCTAGATCAGACTTTGGGCCGGTTTGCTTGTGGACGCGGCTATTTCTTCCGGTGGGTATTAGAGATTTTGGGTTCACGTAACCTGTTCCGTGGGGCAATGGCACCTAGTGTTACAGGCGACTGTTCTGTAAATGGCGTCAATAAGGACATATATATCCACCTATCCGCAAAATTAGACATAAACTATGATTTCCGTCGGTTGCAATTAGTGAATGGATGCAACTATGCATTTGTCGAAAACGTTAAGGGAATTGAGGCAGTCTAGGAACACGCGTTCTCTGACCATCATTAACCTGCCATACTGCCGATAAAGAAAGTCTCGCCGTGCAAGTAAATTGACACGATTGACTGGCTAGAGACTGGGGTGTCGTAATCGTCACTCAGGCGATTTGTCGTTAGGTGGATGTGTCGGTGGAACAGTGGCGATTGACCAGAAAACTGTAAAAAGAAACCAGGTAATAACAAAACGCAAAGCAAAAGAGCAAAAGTATCAACAAACAGTGTTGCTATATGAAACGCAGGAAACCACTGCTTTTAGCTATACTAAAATCAAAGCTTAATACTAATTTTTGTAATCGCTCTAGACAAAAAAACGTTTCAAGCAGCAAAACAACTTTTCCCATATTTGTGCGTCAGTTAAGTGCAAGTTTGGGCGCTACGTTTTGTAAATTTATCTTCAAGTGATAAAAGCACGGGCGTCTTGGATGCAGCAGCCATGAAAATCTGCGTTTTCCTCGCAAGTTCCCGAAACAACTGCACGCAGGAGTTGCGCAACACGAGCTTGCGCGCCCGTATATCTTTCATAGTACCTCTTTGCGACCACGGACCCGGTCACGTAACATAAAATCTCTCATAACCGCCGTGACTAACAGCCGCATTAACCAGCAAACCGCCCCAGGAGCCACTCCAATGCTCAATACTCACCCCTGCCAGCTTTGATATTGCCGCGTCTGTGGCCGAGCTGGCAACGTACGTGGCTCCTACGTGGAGGCTTGGGGATTGAACGCCGCAAACCTATTTCTTTTTAATCACTTGTTTATTTTCTGGAAGTTTTAGTTCATTCTCGAGGGTTATTTTTTTTCTCTGGTTTAGAATCTCTCTGAACGCAGTGCGTATATTAGAGCAGCCCTAGAGAGCCGCATATAGTTAGTATTCCGTTAGAGGTCGATCTTAATGTTGAGCAGACATCAATGGCCGGAACATCTATTATGTTACTTTGTTTTTGCACAACTTCGCCACAATGAAGTTTAATTTTATCTGTTACTTATTCCTTCGCCACTTGTAATTCAAGGCAATATGAATGGACATTTTCTCGGTATCTCAGCGTGTAATAATGCGTCATGCAAGAATAGTATGCCATTAGCAGTCGTTATATCCTTGCCAATTCACACCCTGACAGCGTCGAGTGAGTATTACTAAATTTCCTTAGCAGACCGACATCGTCTTGCATACATATTCCAAACGTTTAAGTTGCTTTTTATTTTTCTAACCAAATAATAATTGAAAGAAGTTTACAACTCTCTGTAATGCCGAATTAGAGCACAGCTCATGAGGAGGAGGAGGGACGGTACGGAAAGGAGACTATGCCCCTTCTCCCCTCCTCTCCTCATCTCTTTCTCCCATACTATTTAGCGGGATAGTTTAACTACATTTCCCACTAAATTCAGCAGAAAAGATTACCTGCTAAACTTAGCGGGAAAAATTTTCCGCTAAATTTAGTGCAAACGTTTTTGCGCTAGATTTAACAAAAACATTTTCTCCTCCGCGTCCTCCTCCTCTTCCCTCGTGACGACACTTTTGACCCTCGTGACATCACACGCGACGTCCCATGTGACATCATTATGGGAAACGTCCCATTATCCGACGCGTGGTTAGGCCGACGGCGACACCGCTTAAGCCGGAAACGGGCGCCTAAGAGCTGCGCTCTGAAAATGGAAATGTAGAGAAGTTATATAATATGAAAATACCTCAACAAACAATTCAAGGGTTTGTCGTGAAAATTGTATCTTTCATTAATATTGATGGCTTCCCCTTTCAGTAAGCTTCATGGGTTATTCTCTTGTTTTTTCTTCTTGATTACAGGTGGTTGCGTAAATGGCAAGGCAATAATCGGAAATTTAGAAGTTCTTAATGTTAATATTTATAGCCTGTATCTCTTGCCTATATTTTTTGTTGCATATATGCACACTGCATTATTTTAGCGAGAATCGTTTCTTCATAATCTTAATGATGATGGAAGGCTATATGATGCCCAATAATTATATCAAGGCGGTTCTAGTGCTTAGGAGAGGACACTCGTCTTTGTCTTTAAAACCTAATCATAAGAAAAAACTACTTAAGAGCATAACGACCAAAGGAAAACATCACTTGAGAGTTGGGCGGTTCTTTCTAGGCTTTGCCTTTGTTGCGTTCTCCGTTAGATTTTACGCAGACATGTACGCAATACTGAAACAAAATAGACGTTTACAATTCTTTGTAATGCTAAATTAGAGCTCTTGAGGAGCTCTTTAGGAGGAGGAGGAGGAAAGGGTGCGTGACGTCACGTGTGATGTCACGAGGGTTAAAATTTACCGCTAAAATTATCGGGAAAAGTTTGCTCTCGTGACACCACACATGACGTCATGTGTGTCGTCATTATGGGAAACGTCCCGTAATGCAACGCGCGGTTACACTGACGCCGACGCCGCTCAACCCGGAAACGGGCGCCTAAGAGCTAAGCTATGAAAAAGTAACCTTGTGCCCTTGCTCGTGACTAGCTCAAAACGTAACTGATTACGTCACTCGTTACTGAGATTCAAAAGGAACGCGTGACTCAGGCTCAAAAGTAACGCATTATTTTCTCGTTACTTTGAATTTGTAGTTTTTTTTTGTAGCAGAAGCCGCGTTCCAATATTTTGTTTCGTTTTATATGCTTCGACTTATTACGCGATCATGGGCATTTTTTTTTTGTCTTGTTGGTGTTTCTTTTTTTTTTTTTTGCCGTGGAAATTTACAGGCGCGAGCTAGGGTGAAAACAAAATAGTGTAACTTTCGATGTGCACGTCCCCCCCCCCCCCCCCCCCCCCCCCCCCCCAGAAATAACTAAATACCGTTACTCGTTACTCAAGAAACGAAAGTACGTTATTCGTTCCTTCGCTCAAAAAGTAACAATGTCGCCACTTACTGAAAAACGTAACTAGATAGAAGTAACTTAAAAAGAAGAGAAAATGTGTAGCCTGGAGCACCTCCCAGATCGAAATGGCGCCTTTCAGTTTGAATGGCTGCAGAAATAGTTCCTTCCTATGGGGGGCTTCGTTCCAATAACATGCCCATCCTGAACTTCGCAATGACATGAATTAATTAACGGCTGTCTTAGATTTCCGAAAACCACAGAGCTGCACGAACAATAAATTTCGGCTCTTTTTTTCGCTGCAATAACTAAACCACATCAGAGTGCAGCAGTGTAATCTGTGTGCTTCAGATATTTTTTTTCTCGAGAGGAGTGCGTTTAGTTGTAGTCGCCTTCCAAGTAAAAATGATTTGAATTAACGTTGAACACAATAAATAATATTAAATATTTCCAGTGAAAAACTTATATGCACGGTTGCAGAAATAAAAAAGGTAAACCCAGATGTATTTTGACCTAAGCTGTAACCACCTTGCATAGCCAGTTTTTTGTGGATACGCGCGAAAGAAGTCGTCGTGCCAATTCGCAAAGATGTAGTTGCAGGAAATACATTTTCTTAAATATTTAGACGGTTTTTGTACACATAAAATAGCTTATTCATTCCTCAATTTTAATCGGTGTAAAAACACATTTCTGAAACATCGTCAACAGGCAAACTAACTATTACCTTGCTGTTATCTAATGATGAACTATACCACGTGCACGGATGTAACAATTCGCCAAGAACAGAATTGATTGACTTTTGAGTTGGTGATACGCAGCCAAGGAAGAAACGCAAGTGCACATTTGTCGGCCAGCGGTCCAACTTCGCGCTGTACATTTGCGACGGGAAGAACAGCATGGCCCATGACTGAGGAGCTTCTCAGGTAGATGGATAAGGAAGAAAAATATACGGGTGATAAGACAGGATGGGTTGGTGAATCTATTGTACTGGCGTCATGCCATCCTCTAGAATTTATGTTTCTTTTTTTTTTAATTACGTATCCTTAAAAGTAAGAAAAAAAATCATTTAGTTATACTCATAGTTACATTGCTGACGGCCATTCACTCTCCGGCGGTAGTTAATTGTTAATTATGCTGTGTCTTAGTTACTTACCTCAAGAATGTAAATGTCCAAACTGACGGGGTAAGAAGAACTACTTTTATAGGACGGACCATACAAATCCTGGAAATAAGAAAAAATAATTCAAACAGAGCACTTAATTTTCACTTCTACTTTCCTATCCCTAACATCCTTTGTTTTCAGACATCCGCTCTTTTGGGCTATATCTATGGCTCTTGGCGTTAATAATAATAATAATAATAATAATAATATATATATATATATATATATATATATATATATATATATATATATATATATATATATATATACAGGTTTTTTTTTTTTAAGCTTAACAGATTTGTTTAAAAAAAGCCGTGAAGGTTACACTTATGCCGCTTGTGGAGTTGAGTTATACGGCCAGAGGGACATATTGTCACGAATGAAGGTGACGAGAAGCCGAACAGTGAACTGAAGGATAAAGGTTTAATGGGGCGAACTTGTGCAAAACAAAAATAAGTAACGAATAATAATTTGTTGTGTGTGTGTTTATACAGCCTAGAACTTGGTCTGCCTCACAGGGGCGACGAGTCTCCCAGCTGTAGATGAGAAATTTAGCCAGTGCGGTACAGCCGCTAGCCTGGAGTCTTTAACGTGCACCACGCAGTAGTGATACACGACCGCACGCCGGTACGATGCTCATCCAGATCGAAACGGGCAGGGGTGGGGCTCGAACCCAGGATCCCTGGGTTCTGCAGCGCGAGCTTTCGTTCCACGCGCTCCGAGCTGGTGTGCGCTAGAGGCAGCAGAAAGCGGGCGGCGGTTCGGCGGCTCTACAGAGCACTAGCGAGACTGACTCGACAAGGTCGCGAGCAGCTGCTTATCTACCGTGCGTCACTATCTCGAAAGTTCGGCAAAGAAAGTTCGACCGTCGCGCGCTCGGGGCGAGGATGAACTGGCACTTTCAAGAACAAGAAAGCAGGAGGAAAGTTACGTCTGGTGCGAGAATGAACGCGAATCCTCTAGAAGTCCGTGACCGAGCGTTCCTTTATCGACCCTGCGGGCGGCAATATTATAGGGGGCTAATCGTAACGATCGGTCGGCTAATTAATTAAAAGTCGTTAATTAACTTTTTAATTAATGAAAATAGACGTATGGTTGCAATTGGAAACTTTTTTAGCGTCATCGGAAACAACTAAATCAGTAATTTCTAGAAAGACTGAGCGCGTGAGAAGCGTAGTAGTGCACTAAAGTTACCACTCGTGGAGCAGGTACAAAGCTAGCGGTTGCGGTAAGGCGCCCGCGCGATTTTTCCGTCTCTTATCTGGCCATAGCCTTGTACCTGCTCCACGAGTGGTAAATTTAGTACAATACTACGCTCCTCACGCGCCGAAAGTCGTTCTGAATATGGCTGATTTAGGGGTTTTCGATGACGCTGAGAAAGTTTCTAATTGAAACCATATGTCTATTTTAATTAATTAAAAAAGTTATTTAACGAAATTTAATAATTAGCCTACTGATCCTTACGATTAGCCCCCTATAATATGTCCCCCTGGCCGAATAACTCACCTCCACAAGCGGTGTGAGTGTAACTTTCACGGCTTTTTTTAAAAACAAATCTGTTAAGCTTAAAAAAAAAAACACCCTGTATATATATATATATATAATCTTCCGTGCGACGCACCCCCTTCCTCCAGTGACACACAATTTTACAGACCTTGCTTAAAACATTCAAACTAGGAATTTCTTATTTATACCTGGTTAGGACAGGCAAATCTCAAAACAAATGTTCGTAAAAAAAATAATTACCCAATATTTATGCTACAATACAATTTTTTTCTTTTTTTTTTTACATTTGCGGGTGAACCCGAAATTCTACTCGTGTGGGATGATGGTGATAGCGCTTGCACCCAACTAGTGTGCGCTCTGAGTTCGCTGAACCTCAATGCGCACACTAGTTGAGTACAAACGCTATCATCATCATTCCACACGGGTACAGTTTTGATTTTGCCCGTAAATGGAAAAGTCCAAATTGTAAAATAAAGTTTGAGACGTCCGTCCTAACCAGGTATGAACAAAATATTCTTTTCTCTAGGTTCAGTGTTTTCTTGAAGTAAGTTAGACTTTATCTGATTAGATGTTGATATTTCTAAACCGCACATTAAAAATACAAATTTTTTTTTTTGGCGTAATATCAGTTGTACCCTTAAGTGAAGAAGAGTGAACAGCGTTTACCCTTTCCCAGAGCCATGTATAGAGAGAGTTTGGTAAATGGGAGGCGCAGAATGAGCCAGGGCGTGCATCAGACGCAGAAAGAGGGCCTGACATGCTCTCTTGGCCAACCAGAAGCAGAAAAGAATCCACCAGCGGTGGTAGCAAAAAATAGTTTGAATCGTAGGTATTTGGTTGTAATAAGCGCGTAAGAGTTAAATGTAGTAATCCTTCCTGGTTGAAAATAGGGTGCACGCGATGTTTCGATTATGATCAGGCTGAAAGACGTAGGAAACGAAATGTGCCGCTCGAACTCTGTTTCGCTCGGATAGTGTGTGTCCGCTCGGAGGGCAGATTCCCGGCCCTCGGTGCCTGGCGTACGGATTATGTCGATCGTTCCGCTAGTTAAGTTCTTCTTCTGTGATCTTGGGTGACCGTGATTGAAACATCAAGTGCACCATATTTTCAGTCATCGGGAGTTACTCCGACGCACTTATTAATTTTGTTTTACGCGACCACCACCAGGATATTATTTCCGGTCCTGGTTGGCCACATTTGAATTTGTGAAGACGCCCTGGAAGACGCCCAGCCCACTTTCGGCCAATGGCGCCTCCTCATTTGTTTCCTATACACGGACGTTTCCTGACGTCAGATCGCATACGTTTGACCACCATGTAAGAGGAGGAGAGTGAAGCTGCTTTTGTAAGAATTTTGATTGACGGGTTAATCTTCTATAATCTTCTGGGAGGAGAATAGCGACGTCTGCGCAAATCCGGGGTCACAAAAGAGGATCCTGATAAAAGGGGAGCTCCTCTTCCCCTGTTCTCTGGTGGTCATCGGAGCGCTCGTTGAGTGTCGTCACGTGCAACGCATGTATACCTCCCAATGAATGACAAAACTCTCCATATATAAGGCTCTGTCCTTTTCAGTCACAATCTATAGAGAATGTGAGGCGCTTATCAAAAATATGGACATCCGAATGATTGAAGTGGAACAGCAGTACGAGGTTATGTCTATGGCGTGAATTACAATTCTAAATTGATAAACACTAAGAAGGCGTAAACAACAATTTTTTTTATTTACGTTAATGTTTCGTGATTATGGGCGCAACCTACGTTCCCTGCCGTCCGCTATGGTCGTTAGTGTTACACGGAAGGAAATATTTGTTATTTCCAGTGCCGTCTTCAAAGTTCTATTATATTTAGCCCAGAAAAACACCCTGTATGCACTGCCTGCGTCCCTTGTATTGGTGCCGGGTTGTTCCACCGACATCACTCACGGACAGACGCCAGGGTTAGTAATGTTGATCATCTATAATGAATTTTAAATAGCGATACTCTTAGTTGATTTCTATTACAACACGGATTGATGACAAACGCAAACTCGGATATCCTCCAAAACATTTGTTGTACCTGAGCACAAGCCAATGAGTTACAAGTTGTTCGGGTCCAGCAACATTATTTTGTGCATTGGTTTAACATTATCAGCGAGCACACGTTTTGATTTACTTGGACTATACCTTCATGATTCTGTGTGTACGTCAGCATTTGATGCTGGAGTAAGCACTTTGAAAGCGCAGAAAAATAAACCCAGTAATCTTAAATTTAAAATTTCACAGCGGAACTAGAACTCCTGGTTAAATACGTTTGTGCGGTTTTGTGCTTGTGTCACGCTATATAAAATAAAATTAATTAAATTCAAACACACTATTATTTTTCGTTTTTTTATATCAAACAAAAATTGCAGCTGTACTTTGATATCTCGATGAAGCCGTCATATGCACGATTGCGTTCTATAAGGAACGCAGTGAGCGCTGCAATCGAGTGTCGGTTTTCCTGGCACGCGCTGCCACATCATTTCAGAGCGTTCTCGCATCCCCCTCCTCAAGCACCTCTTTTTTATGCCGTGAAACACAAACACACGCAGGCGAGTGCCGCGTGAGGAAACTCATAACATGTTGAAATGCCTCGCGGTTGAAGACGCACAGTTTCTTCGCGGCACAGATGTCTGGCATCTGGTCCTTCCATTGGTCCACGCAACGCTCACGACACACCGGAGAAACGTATTCCGCAAGAATGCAGTTCTGCATGAACAAAACTGAAGATATATAGCGACCGGTGGTCCTGTTGTAATATTCTTCATGCGTCAACCCCAGCCTTTTTTTTTTACGCTGACTGGTCAACTTCTGATGTAGATTGCATGTTTGTTGGTAGAACAGAAATTTTCTATATTCCTACCTTGTTAACAAAGCACCATTGCCAGCGTGTCCTGATGTGTGAGAATCCAGGAGGCCAACCTAGACGGTCCACGGTCCAGAGATGACATGGTACTCCTCCTCGATACGTCTTCAAAATAACAAATCGTAGTTCCTAAGAAGCTCTTTATTTATCAACATAACTGTGATTGTTATGTTTAGATTATCGTAAAAGAGATATAATACAGCATAGAGGAAACGGAACTAGTGATGTACGTTAAGAAAATGAGAACAGGAAAGTACAGTTGGTGATTCCATGCGAATAAAGTAGGGTCCATGCACGGACAGTAATTTAATTTCAGTAGTTGAAGGTAATATCATCAAAAGTAACCTGTAATGCAATTCCTATAATTTTAGCTTAAGTCATTTTATATACACGAATGACTAAATTACACCTGAAATTTGTCTCGCACAGTTAAACTGATCTTATTAAAGCCAGTGACTGAAAAGAGAGCATTAGATATAGCCTTTATTTGACTTTGTGATAGTTCATAAAATGTGTATTGGCTGATTATGGCTGGGCATCGAAGGTACTGATGAACAGCAATCAAAGCCACAGCACGCACAGTGGCGGCCTTAGTAAACATCCTACCTCAAACACGAGGGAACTGCATTTTGATGGGAAGGCAGAAACAAAATCAGACTTTTACAGCGTGTGACCTGTAGGTCGATTATCTTAAAATAAGTTAAGTCGGCCAATTCCAGAACAATAATTTAAGGAAGGCCATCTTCTTAGTTTCCGTCTCATATATATCTTCTGAGCTTCGTTCCGGAAATTGAGAGCCTATGTGCAGAGTGTGGCACAGTTATAGTGTACAATCAATTGCTGGATCTTAAGATTGGCTAGTTGTTACATTATTGGACGGAAGCGCCGAACAAACAGGGACGGAGTAAGCAAAGACGTGGCGCACTCACAACTCAAGGTTTTTGAAAATTACATAGTATTAATACCGCCTATATGGCTGCTCGCGTGTAGAGAAAAACTCTATATGTCAGGTGTAGTGACGGCGCACTAACACTTGTGCTCTCTGATTGCTGTCCAATGCAAATGCCTCGTAAATTTCTCGGGCGGTTTTGTCTGCGTAACCCCCCAAAACCCTTCGTGTAATCAAATGTGTACTAAATCAGAGCACCATGCTAGACGGTAAATTTCGAAACCATCGCTGCGATATGTAAGTAACCCCCAAAAAATGACGCTGATGTGGTGGGTTGCTAACTGTTCCACGCAGTGGGAATTTTGTAAATTAATAGCTCAAGTATATTTAAATGTTTTGCCATCACGACACTACTTAGTGGAAAAGAAAACATTGAAACAACAAACTGGTGTGAGTATAACATTTCGGCCTCCTATCATGTAACGCAAATTTGGTAAATCGATAACGCCCCAATCGTGATCAATGTAAGATTCAATATACAGGACGTTTTTCTTTTCAGCTGCACCAAATTTCCAAAAAAAGGGAACGTGAGATAGAGTATTTTAAGCCCTGGAGAAGTGCTAATGGCCATGGCGGCCACTAGAAAAAAGGTCAAATTAGGTAATTAGCTAGCTAATTAAATAAAATGTTTAACTAACTTCTTAATTTTTTACTTGAGGGCACATAATGTATTTAGAGAATTGAAGCTCGTCATCAATATAATCTAGCCGTGCCATCAAAGTTTGGTTAAAATTTTTTTTAGTGGGTGTTACGAGGTCAACGAGTGTCACTTCGGTACGCGGCGTCAAACCGAAACTAAACTAGAAAGAGCGCCGGTAAAGTAATCGCTCCGCCCTTCCGGCCCCCGTGGATCGTCGTTATCACAGCCAGCTTCGCCTAAGCAAGTGGAGCCGGCCGCGATAATAACAAATCACATACCCGAAAGGGCGGGGCGAAAACTTTACCGGCGCTCTTCCTCGCTTAGTTTCGGTTTGACGCCGTGTACCTAGAGGAAATTTCTTGACGCCATAGCACCTACTACAAATTTTTTAATCAAACTTTGATGGCAGGGCTGGACCATATTTAGGTCGAGCTTCAATTCTCTAAAAACATTATGTACTCTCAAGTCAAAAATTAAGAAGTTAGTTAATACATTTTAGTTAATTAGCTAACTAATTTCACCTTTTTCCTAGTGGCCGCTGTAGTGATGTAGATTTTATGTTTGCGCGTCATCACCGTATATAGCGGCGGCGACGAAGAAGAGGAAGTAGAATAAAGCCAGTGAATGGGAATGGCTGCCCGATTCTTATTCTGCCCGCCGCGGTAGCACTCTGTTTGTTCAGCACACTTGCAACGCTACATTGGCGACGAGGATGTGTTAGGCAGTCTTCAGCTACTGTTCTGGCAAGTGTCCACCCTCTACGACCTCGCAGCGCGCCGCCGCTGCATCACAAGCCGCTAGCTTCACAGCCAAGCCTACTGTTCTCCACTAATGATGACCCTCATTCCAACCTCACTGCCCCCTTTTGACTTGGATGCCACTGACCCAACTAATATCGGCACCGAATGGCGAAAGTGGATCACTCGCTTTGAAAACTTCCTCATCGCTATCGATGTGAAGAATGACGCACGCAAACGTTCTCTCCTGCTCCACTATGCGGGGGAACGTGTCCATGAACTCTGCGATACCCTTCCTGACCAGCAGAGTGGTCCCACTTCAAGTACGACGCCAGATGCTGATACACCCTCAGTAACGACCAGAAACTCATACAAATCTCTCAAAGACAAGCTTGACGCATACTTCAATCCCCGCATGAACACCACTTTCGAGGTCTTTCAGTTTCATCAGGCAAAGCAACTCGAGGGCGAATCTGTCGGCCAATTCTCGATAAGGCTTCGACTGCTTGCCCGCAATTGCGGTTTCGCGAACGCCGACGAGGAAATCAAGAACCAGATCATATTTGCAACGACATCTTCACGCCTACGACGAGTAGCCCTAAGGCAAGACCTTAACCTTCCATCACTTTTGAATCAGGCTCGACTCCTCGAGGATGTCAACCGAGCAACGACTGCCATGGAAGGGTCGTCAACAACCACCACGGTTCAAGCAATCTCTGGACAGCCTCGCTACGGCCATGCAGGCACATCCAGAAATGCCCAAAAACCTCGCTGCTTCTCTTCCCGTCTGAAATATGGAGGCAGCGCACAACAACGCACCCACGTCTCGCCTCCCCAGTGTTTCCACTGTGGTGCTCCCTGGCCCCACGAGGGAGGACAAGTAAACTGCCCCGCCAAATTTGCCTCTTGCAAAGCATGTGGCAGAAAAGGACACTATGGCAAGGTGTGCCAATCAGCACACAAGCCTATCTTCCAGATTTCTCATGATTCTGACTCCGACGAGAGCGTTTATGCTGTCGGAACTATATCACAAGTATCGCACCAAAACCTCCCAGAGGTTCATCTGCAGGTTAACAACACCCCTATAACATTTCTTATTGACACAGGTGCTTCAGTATCGGTCATTGGAACCTCTACCCTTAACAAGCTTGGAGCACTCACAAAACTCCAACAAGCAGGCACGCGTATTTACGCCTATGGATCGGATACTCCGCTACCAATCATAGGAAAGCTCAGTGTCACGCTGAAGTACAGGGACAGCGACACAACAGAAGACGTGTTCGTAATAGAGGGAACCGTGAAGTCACTGCTGAGCTTCGCTGCTGCAAATAGACTGGGCCTAATCCAAATTACTTACGCCATCCAAGGACACTCACAAAAAGATGCACGCTCGAATGGAGAGGTGCCCCCAAATTTGCTCGAGACCCCACTCGCTGCTTTTCCCGAGTTGTGTGCGGGTGTAGGCAAACTAAAAAACCTCCAAGTACACCTCCACATTGACAAAGCCATTGCCCCGGTTGCTCAGCCCCATCGCAGAATCCCTTTTGCAGTGCGAAGCAAAGTAGAAGAGAAGATAAGCCAGCTCTTGGCCCTTGATATCATCGAAGAAGCAACCGGACCTACTCCATGGGTCTCACCAATCGTAATTGTGCCAAAGCCGCACAATCCAGAGGACATTCGCCTATGCATCGACATGAAATGTGCGAATAGGGCCATTCTTCGCGAGAGGCACGTCTGCCCTACCATCGACGACGTGATCACAGCGCTGAACGGATCAACACTCTTCACGAAGCTTGATCTAAAAGATGGGTACCACCAACTAGAACTTGATAATGAATCAAGAACAATCACAACATTTGCAACACACAACAAATTGTACCGCTACAAACGACTTATGTTTGGAATTAACGCAGCTGCCGAGGTTTTCCAGGAAACCATCCGTCAAGTACTCAACGGCATACCTCACGTCCTCAACATCAGTGATGATATACTTGTGTTTGGCAAGACAAAGGATGAGCATGATCAGGCTCTCCAGGCAACTCTCGAAAGGTTGACAGAGAACGGCCTCACAGTTAATCCAAAAAAATGTCTCTTCGCACAGAAAGAACTCTGTTTTTTCGGTCACATTTTCTCTGCTTCTGGAATCAGAACAGACCCCCAGAAAATCGCAGCACTAAAAAAAATGCCGGCCCCTGCCAACGCTCATGAAGTTCGAAGTCTGCTTGGTACAGTAAATTACAGCGGACGCTTCCTACCTAACCTTGCTGATATAACGTACCCTCTTCGGCTTCTCACAAAAAAGAACACCAAGTGGGTGTGGGGACCAGAAGAGCAAGGTGCTTTGGATACGCTGAAAGAAAAGCTGTCTGAGATCCCCAACCTTGTCTTTTTTGATGGTACAAAAGAAATAATTCTCACGGTCGACGCGTCGCCTGTTGGCCTTGGTGCCATACTAGCACAGAAGGAAGGCAACAACACCGAGATTGTCGCATATGCTAGTCGGGCTTTGACCCCCACTGAAGCACGGTACTCTCAGATTGAACGTGAGTTGCTTGCAGTTGTCTGGGGGACAGAGCACTTTCATCTGTATCTTTACGGTAACAACTTTCTCATTCGCACAGACCACAAACCCCTTGTCTCCATCCTCACCAACCCACGGGCGTGTCCGTCTGCACGAATTGAACGCCTCGTGTTGAGAATCCAACAATACAACTTCAGAATGGAGCACACGTGTGGAATCAACAACCCCTCGGATTACCTGTCTCGCCATCCCATGCCG